CCAGCTTTTAGCTTTTAAGTGATTAATTTAAGCAAACGTTGTCATTTGAAAACACTCTTTTTAACTTTTTTAAGTCAAAAGCTGAAAAGTGTTTTTTTAATCAACTGCAATTCTGCAAACACTCCTTAAGATTAGATGATCCTTTATTGATTATGTAATTCTAGCTTTAGTTCAACAAGCTATCAGACTGTAACTCTTGAAAAAAACTCTCTTTTCAAAGAGGCAGACAAGCTAAATAGGTAAACGCCAAGTGAAAATGGAAGTATTATGTTGTAATTAAAAGAGAATAGAAGTATTTTAAGTGCGTTTACATTTTCCAAAAAAGTAACTCCATAGAACATATGAATACCTTCTAACTATTTTCAAAGACATTGGGGCACAAATTAAGTTGTACTTGATTTAATTTTTCTAGGAATTTATCTATCTGTGGCTAAAAGATTTATAAATTCCTAAAATATGACTAATAAACTTAGACATGCTATAATTAAAATGGAGGGAAAAACATCAAACACATATTGTACATACAAAACGCCATTAATTTAAGAAAAAATCATTTTAGGCATGTTTCAGAAATAACATCACTTTTAGTCATACTTTTAATAATTTTCTCTTGTTTCAGTTCTAAAAGTTTGTACATACAAATATACCTAAATAGATTATTGCATAACATGTTGGTTGACACTGCCTACTTAATGATAATTCATGTTCATACTGAGTACGTCGTATTATTTTTCTAGCTGACATATATCATTATTAGAATTTAGACACTAATTAATCAAGGGACCAACTAGATTTAAAAATATGGAAAACTAACAAATAAGTCCTCCTACTGTATAAAAAAAGTCAATTAGATCCTCGTACTATTAAATGACTCAATTAAGTCATCAAAGTATTAAAAAAGAATCAAAATGACTTTTTCACCGGTTGTATGCTAGTTAGCCGGTTTCCCATATCCAGTTGGCCTGTTCTTTCCATTCTCTATTTCATTTTTAATTTTCTTTTTCTTTTCCCTTTTCCCTTTTCTCTCTTTCTTCTCCCCCACAATTTCTTCTTCTTGGGTTTCTGCATCCGGCGTCACGATGAGTTTCTTACTTTCTTTATTTTCTTTTTTTCATTATCTTTCCGCAGAAGGGCACTATCGCCGGCGCCAGGGATGGATTTAGGGGGGGAGGGCGACCGCCCCCCTTGGACATTCAATTTTTTTTACCATATATGTAATATTTTCATAAAACTTTCATAATTTAATTAGATTCGCCCCCCTTACCTTTTAATTTTCAAAATTAATATATATAGTCTTACATAATGTAATACTTAATTGGAGATTTAAAAGTAGAAACATCTAAAATAATTTACATAACTTAAACAAATAAACAATAGAGTAACTCGTTATATAAGATTTAGGATACTTATTATATAAGAATTCCTAGTTTTGTAATGTTTAATTATCTTTATTAGATAACAAGTACTGGATTTCGTAAAACATATATCAAACAGTATTAAATACCAGACATACTAATTACACGATTTTTAGATCACGTGAAATGAATCCAAAATATAAATATTTATAGACATTAGATTACATAATTCATTTACTTCTTGCTTTCTAAAAATAATTTATTGCATGGATAATAAACTCTAAATTATTATAGAATTAATAAAAATATTAAAATATAATATGCACCATATATATGTGTGTGTGTGTGGTGCATATTATTCTAAAAATAACAATCTCATACATACTAGTATACTACTATTGTAATATTAAGAAAACTTCTCATGAGTCATGACTCACGAACACCCTCCTTGGTGGACAAAAATTACAATTCAATAACCGATTCATGAGGTTAAACAATGTAGAAGTTATTAAAAATGTATTGGTTGATGTCTTTGTCATTGTCTAAACTTAGAATGTAATAGATTTAAATGTTGTTCGGGATGTGCATGTATTAATGTCATTTTTTGAATAAAAATACCCGCATAGCCCTACAGTAGCGAAAAAAATTCGCCCCGCTATACTAGGGAAAAAAAAATTCACCCCGCTACACTAACAAAAAAAAATCACCCCCTACACTAACGAAAAATTTCGCCCCCCTTGACTCAGAATCCTGGATCCGTCCCTGGCCGGCGCCCATATATTCCTAAATTGCCGTCTATGGCCATTGCCCACAAGTTTCCAACTGCCGACACGCGTCGGCCGACACCCAAAACTTCCTGAGCAGTCGTCGGTTGTCGATCATTTCCGACATCTTCTCCAATCACCTTCGTGCACAACTCTTTGCCCATTACTTCGCCACTCGTGGCCCAACACATTAACCGCCGTCTGCCCCCGTCAGCTAAAAATTTCCCAACCTCCATTGCCGGCCGCCCATCGAACGAAATAGAACTAACGAAGGATGGAAGAAAGATAGAAAGAAAGAAATAAGGAAAGAGAGTTAAAGTAATTAAAGAAGACGAAAGAAAGAAAAGAAAAAACTTAGGAGCGAGCCAGAACGATTAAGAGAAGTGGTTTTAAAATTGTAAAATTTGTTCTTGGAGGGTTTTTTGCACATGAATAATTATAACACGGGGGGAAGGGGTGACGCTTTTTTAAAAAATCACATAGGACTAATGCGCCGAATTTATATTTCACGAGGGGGTTTGGTGTATTGAACCCTTTTTCTTCATATCTATCTTTCTCTTTTTCTCTATCTTGCTCATCAACATACCCCATCATAATTTCCCTCCTCTCTATCTCTCTCCAACTCGAAGTATCCGAAGAGGATCCAAATTCAACCCGGTTGCTCCTGATTATTTATTTAAATAATCATAGAGATGATAAATTTTTTCCTTTCGATTTATTAAAAACAGAGAAATAAAGCGTAATATAAATCAGTAATTTGTTTAAACGTATGAAGCGCAGTATAATTCAATAATTTATCTAATTTTCTTTCCAATTGAATTTTAAGCTGAAATTTGGTGGATACACATTAGATTTGAGTAAGAACATGCTCAAAAAAATCAATAAAAAAAATCAACTCGAATCACCCAAAACAGTGAGTTTCGCAGGCAGTTCCATTCAGGAGCTCCTGACTCGAACGGTAACTCTCTCTCTCTCTCTCTCTCTCTCTCTCTCTGTGTGTGTGTGTGTGTGTGTGTGTGTGTGTGTGAGAGAGAGAGAGAGAGAGAGAGAGAGAGAGAGAGAGAGAGAGAGAAGTAGTTTTCAACTTTTCATGTTTGCGCAGGACTGTCGCTCGGCTACCTTGTTTTGAGGTGGTTGTCGGTGTACTCAAAGTGTTCATAAAATAAATTGGGGTGATTTCAAACTAATGTCCCTTTTATACTCCAACCCTACTCCTATTATTCTCTTCCCCGCTCTTCTCCTCAGAGTAAGTTCAAACTAAAAATTGTTTAATCTCAACGTCATTTCTGCCATGTGTGGTAATCTTTAGGTTGAAAGATAGAAGTGTTACTCGAGACGAAGAGTGGTGAAGGAGAAAGTTGAGGTAGGAGTTGGGAATATTAAAAGGCAATAGTTTATATTCACCCCAATTTATTCATGTGGACACTATTGCCCGTTTGGGTTATTTTTATGAACGTTTTCAGTGAGAATTATTATTGTAGAATCCCAAAACGTAAGGATTATTCTTGTGAATTTCGCCTTTTAAATATAATTATACATATATTATATATGGAGTATGTCTTCTAATATATGACTATTCCGTTTTCAATAATTGATAATTAAGTGTTCAGATATATATGAATTATTAGCGTATATATTATGTATATATATATTATTAATTATACTAAAACTGGCATTAATATACAGTGTCCAAATTTGTGTGTATATATATATATTAGTATATATATTATGTATATATTAGTATATAGTGTTTTAGTAATTATGATATAAAAAAAGCTAATGCCAATTTGTGAACATCAGTCAAGTTAGTCCAATGGAAGCACACTAATTATGCAAGAAAATGAGTTAGGGTTGAGTCCCCTGGACACCATATTTATAATTTTTCAATGCAACATGAGTAAATTTTTTGATACACTTTCCAAATTATTGGACTTTTGGTAATTGGTCTGCAAAATCAATTAGTTCAAATCATTTGGCTTTTGAATATTAGCTTGAAAAATTAATTAATTCGATTCATTAGAATTTCGAATATTAATTAGTTGACATCATTGGACTTTTGAATATTGATTTGAAAAATAATATTTTCAATTCATTCTGCTTGGTAGGTGAAATTTAATTAGTTTACTTTTTTACATAGAGCATAAACTATGGAGTCAAAAGAAAATTGATTTTCGAGAAATCAACTTGAAAATTGGTATTGAACACTTCAGTAACCGACACGAGCTAATTTCGGTTAGGTTACTTAGGTATCTATGGCTTTTGTAAGATAATTAAATTTTCGGTTTTGTAATATTTATTTTTTTCCTTTAACACTTTTGTAAAATTATATAACTACATCTTGTAATTTTAACATTTTTTTGCAAAATAAATTACGTATTGGTAATTAAAATTTTGCCCCACCTCAATGCAAATGTTAGATCCACCCCTGACTAGACCAGGCGAGCCCGGTTCCGGTCCCAACGGTCATATTTTAAAAATAAATAAATAAAAAATAGGAGTTGGGGTTGGTGTGGCATGTAGCTATTGGCAACGACTATATGACCATTTGGGAATGGGGGGTAGAAATGACAACCGATGTTGGTGGTGATTCTGATTATTAGCAAATGAAATATTTTAAATTATTCCCAATCCTCGATTGTGATTGAAATAGATATACATTTCATGTTTAATGTCAATGATTTGTTGTATAAATTAGGTAATTAAAAAAACGCCCTGACCGGGGACCCACCCGGGTACCCGGACCGGTACCGAACCAAACCGGATCGGTACCGGGCTTTATTATTTTAGAACTGGGACCAGCCAGTCCCAGGCCCGGAACCAGACCAGACTGGTCCATGACTAATCATAACACACCGAGGTTATACTGCAATCCACTGGTAAGTAGGCGGCGACCCCGATCACTGAAAATAGCATTTTTTAAACCAAAATGCAGTAACTAGTCAACTAATATCATAATATCATGAATTGTAACAGAACAATTCATCAGACAACACAAATCACAAAAAGAAAACAATCTGTTTAGATCAGCATGGTCATGCGTGAGTAGCCAACCAGCCAGATAATTGATTACATTGATTCACATGTTCCACACCACCCACCAATCACTCCCATCCTTTAGCCTATATTATATATCTTGCGTAGAACCTAGGTCTTGCAAGTGAATGAAGAACTTTACAAGGTAGTCTATATCAGCTCCAGGTACAATGCTTCTTGTTTGCTGGTCAAGCCTAGTTCATTCAGAGTTGAGCAACTCTCCTCACTGCTAAATGCACGCCTTGGGTATGGTCTTGCCTACAAATAAAACAGTATCCTGTATTTATTCTACCCCTTGCAAACCGAAAGCAGTAACAATACCATGAAATTTTTCTCATGGAGGTGGGATGGACAATATTTCATATGTCAACAACAAATTTTCATAGGTATTAATTGTGCATATGAGAATACACACATAATAGTATAATACACATGCTAATTCTTTTGGAGGGGGGTGATATGGAATAAACGGGGATTTTAGCAATAATTAGTGCAAGCAAAGTAAACCTTGATTAATCAGAAACTTCAGAGAAAATTATCAGATATTCCATTTTCTGGATGTTTGATTGTTTGGAAAACATCTGACATGCTACAAAGAAGGATAAAGGAACCTGCCAAGGCCTCTACTACTAGGGCTGAACCCTCGGCCAGGCAGGCCCTATTTCAGCTGCGGCCTCTCCACCTAAGGAACCTGCAGCCCCTGTTTCTGTTCCGACTTTTCATGCCACCAAACCGAAGGAAATTGGAGGCAATATTGTGAGGAGCGTCTATGAAATGGATGATGAAGATGTGGTGACTAAATGGGAGCTTGATGATAAGGCCAAGAGGACCGTTTATGTTATGAAAAGGGCTGATTTACCTCTTTGCCACTTTGAGTGTAAAGTTGGTCCGGATTTCAAGCAAGTGTTTGGAAAGGAGCATTCGGGATGAGCTTCACAGTTCAATGCCTAAAGACACTTCCTGGAGTCAAGCGGCATTACCACTGGTTTTAATTCGAACCTTCTATTTTTATTCCTAATGTTGTTGCTTTCTTTGATGAAAATAGCAGGGAAAACAAGAAGTATTATAAGGAGATGTTAAGGAGAAAAGCAAGGGAGGAAAAGAAGAAGATGGCGGGATCGGAGGACGGCCACACCTCCAACTCGAAGGATAATGATTAAAGCCATTGTGTGGAATGTGAGAGGTTTGCATAAACCCTCCAAGCATACTAGTATTTCTAATCTTATTAAAATAAATAATGCAAATTTTTGTTGTTTCTTAGAAATGAAAATGACTAAGGATAGTTTTAAGAATTATGTTTCAAATAAATGGCCAGGTTGGCTAAGTGAAAATAATTTTGAAAAAATAAATGGGGGCCGAATGGTTATCCTTTGGAACCCAAATTCTTTACATTGTGTAGTGAGAGAGATTGAAGCGCAATATATGCATGTTCAATGTATATGCCAAATTACTCAAACCACCTTTTTTATTACTCTTGTTTATCCGTTGTATACGGTATTGGAGCGTAAGGCTCTTTGGGATTATCTTGTAACGTTAGGTGACCAATTTAGGGAACCTTGGATAGTCACAGGTATTTTAATTGTGTATGGGCGCCAAATGAGAGGTTGGGTTCCAACCCACCTACGCCATACATGATGCAACATTTATTTGATTTTAGAGTCCGAGCTAGCTTAGAAGATGCTCCCTCTACGGGAGAATTTTATACATGGAATAAAGGTACCCTTTGGGCTAAGCTAGACCGTGTTCTTTTAAATGATGTTTGGGGACTTAACGGTATTGGTTGTAAGGCCCATTTCAATGAAATGGAGGAGTATGATCATACAGCTTCTGTTATATCAATACTCCATAATTCCTCAATCCTCATTAAGGCTGAAACCTTTCAAGTTTTTTAATATGTGAATTAAGTATCATGATTTTGCTAACATAGTAGCGCAGAATTGGAGCATTTTTGTTTATGGTACAGCCCAGTATTCGATTGTGAGGGAGCTCAAGTCGCTCAAAGGGCCGCTTAAAAAGCTCCATGCATTGGAATATGGCCATATCTCAACAAAGGCAAAGAAAGCTAAGAAGGATTTTAAAAGATTCAATAAATTGGCGCTTGAATCACCTCTAGATGAAGAGATCAAAGTACAATTAATGGCGGCTAGGAAATGTGCAGCATTTCTTGGGGAGGCCGAATCAAGCTTCTATCAACAAAGAGCCAAGGCCACACACATTCCAAAGGCCGATAAAGGCACGAGATATTTTCATGCCATAATGAAAGAAGAATATGGCTTGAAATGCAATATCATCCATATCCTTGGAAGATGGTAGTCTCATCACTTCTTTGGATCAAGTGGGTGGTGAATTTGTAAAAATTTTTATGGCTTTATTTGGTACCGAAGTGGAAAACCAAGACCTTGACCCGATGGTCTTAGGTCACGGCCCCTTGATTGAACCAAGTGTTCATGATAGCTTACTTGCTCCAATAACAAACAAGGAAATTAAAGATGCTTTGTTTGACATCGGAGATGATAAGGCACCGGGGCCGGATGGGTATTCATCGGCCTTTTTTTAAGGCTAATTGGAGCTTTATCGGGGATGACATAGTCCAAGCAATTAGGGAATTTTTTTCATTCGCTTAAACAAATTAATCATACGGTTATAGCACTTATCCCTAAGACTAATCACTCGCATATAGGATTGGACTATAGACCCATATCATGTACTAATGTGTTGTATAAAGTCATTACGAAAATTATAGCGGCAAGATTAAACCCTTTTCTCTCGGGTTTAATTAACCAAGCACAAGGTGCTTTCGTTGACGGCCGCCTAATGTTTGATAACATTTTTCTTGCCCAGGAACTTGTTAGAGGATGCAATAGAAAGCGAATATCACCAAGATGGATTACGGTGGATTTGCGAAAGGCCTATGACACAATTTCTTGGAATTTTCTTGAAAATGTACTAAAGGGGTTGGGCTACCCTTCTAGGTTTGTTGGTTGGATAATTGAATGTGTGTCAACGGCTTCCTTCTCGGTTTCCTTGAATGGGTCGTTACATGGTTTTTTCAAAGCAAAACGAAACATAAGGCAAGGAGATCCAATGTCTCCATTATTATTTGTCCTATGCCTCGAATACTTTTCCCGGTTGGCGGTTGCTCAACATGAGAACCAAAGGGGCGAATTTTAATTACCATCCACTTTGTGCGTCTTTGGGTATTACTCATCTGGCCTATGCAGATGACCTTATGCTCTTCTCTAGGGGTGATACGTATTCCGTAGAAATATTAGTTAACGCCCTTGAAGAGTTTGGGGATGTATCGGGCCTTAGAGTAAACCACGGGAAATCGAATACTATCCTCCGTTTTTATTTAGATGCAACATAGAGAGTGGGCACACTAATTAAGAAACTTGTGACTTTCCTATTTTCTCCTTGTGAGTTGGATAAAGCGGAGATGCAGAGTAATAATAGAACACGTACAAACAAGAATCTGGAGGCCTAATTTTTCACGCGTTAAGATCTAGCTGCCTTCCCTGGAACCGTTCTCGTGAATCTTTTCCGCTGAAGCATAGCTTGAAATGGTTGATTTGTGTGTTTTCTTGGTGTTTCTAGTCCGACACAAAAAATGACTTCCTTTTTCACTCCTCCATTTAGGTCAGTCAAAGACGATCTATTAATTCGTGAACTTCTAAACATAAACTAATCTGATTCAGCTGTTAAATTTTACCAATCCCGCAGGTAATTTGGAAGTGCAGGATTTCGGCAGAGCATTAGTGGATTCCTGTTCAGGAGTCGCGGAGTTTACTGCTCATGCCAAAGACAATTTCCGATTACTGATTTGAATCGAACGATTGTTTCTGGTTTCCAAGAGCGGTTTGGGGTGCACCATCTTCGGTCGCATCTCCGGAGGACATAGTCACCGGGAAGCCTGAAACCACTGGTATCGATTGGGAGGTTTTACTGTTCACCATTGGTTTGCAGATTTAATTTTCTTCATTCCCATATGGCCGGAAAATAAAAATCAAAGTGAAGAACGTGGTAAGAAGAAGATAAAATAGGGAAGAAGATGAGATGGGAAAAGAGTTGATTTCCGTGAAGATTAGGAAAAAGAAATGTAAAGTGGGATAGGGTAGATTAAAGATGGGAATTAGGTAGGAGAAACAAATGAGTTTTGAGTAGGGATATTAAAGTCATTGTAGGTATTTCTTTTTACCTAAAAGAGTAATCTTGCAATTATTTTGAAACTTCCCAAAAAGGAAAGTGTTGCAACTAAAAAAGAACGGAGGGAGTATATTTGTGGGTGGTGTGCGGGACCTTGAATTGCAAAATTTGTTAGACCTCGTCGACTTTGGGCAAAAGACTTTCCCGGTTAGATACCTTGGGATCCCTCTTGCTCCCCTTAAGGTATCGGTTGCCCAATATGCACCGTTAATTGACATGGTAAATGACTTTTTAAAGGCATTGAATACGAAAACAATATCCTATGTCGGGAAGGTAGAGCTTATTAGATCTGTGATCCAAAGGGGTCCAATCTTTTTGGCTCCAAGTCTTTCCGGTCCCCCAAACAATTTTGGATAGGATAGTTTCCGTATGTAGGATATTCTTATGGGGTGGCAAGTATGCCAAAGTGGCATGGGATGACATCTGTCTCCCTAAAGAGGAAGAGGGACTTGGCATTCATAATGCTAAGGTTTGAAACGACGCTCTCCTTTCTCGCACACTTCGGGACCTTAAGGGTTAGGTGGTTAATGGTGTTTACCTTAAGGGTAAAAGTGTGGGAATTCAACCCACACGGCCGTGACTCACAATTCATGAAGAGGTTGTATCAAATACGTAATAAATTACATGGTTCTTTTAATAATTTGAACGAAACCATTAAGGGCCTTAACACTAGATTCATTAATGGTAAACTGATTTCGGCCCAGATCTATGAGCTTTTGAGAGTAAAGGGGACTGTTAGGACCCCAATGAGTTTCATTTGAAAATCCTACATTCCACCCAAACTCTCTTTTAATGTTTGGTTGGCACTACGAAATAGGCTACTCACTCACGATAGCCTCGGGTACCTCCAAATTGTGAATCGTTGTGACCTATGCAAGGGTGGATTGGAAACAATCCCACACCTATTTTTTTCTTGCTCATTCACGTGTAGGGTGTGGGAGAGGATCAAAAGCTGGATGGGATTTGGACATCAAATGAATACATTGCTTAGTCCGGTCAAGTGGATTTTGAAGAGCCGCAAAGGAGCAAACATGAAGGCAAAGGCAGCCCGGTTAGCCTTCTGTGCCGCGGCATACAATATATGGCATGCGAGGAACTCTATAAGATTTAATGAAGGCAAGAATATGGAAGATGATGTTGTTGCGAAGGTCAAACATATGGTCTACAAGATAATCTTTAGTATCTACCCATATGAGATTATCAACTTTTGAGAAGATTCAAGATTTTTTTTAATGTCCCGACATTAGACAGTTTGTATTCGAGTGCGTGCACCTTGCAGCACCGGTCAAAGACTTAGATTTTTTGGGCCGTATTTATTGGCTATCTTGGTTTTAGAATAGATTAAAAGCCTCTCCTAACCCTCTCCTTTTCACACGAAATAGGGGGGCTTTAGATTTTTGGACACATTGTAGTGTTGTAAATGTTATTTTTGCTTGGGTGTTAATATATATTTACATTTCATCCAAAAAAAGACACCTTTTAGCTTGTCTAAGTCAAAGATCCATGACGTGTCCAGGTTCCTTTTTTTATTAGTAATGATAAAAAGTACATAATTTTAAGTTTTAACTCAAGACTTACCAAACAGCAGGAGAATTATTTTTAAGGTGTGTTTTAACAGGAATGACAGAAACACTTCCGGGCGCAAGATAGCAAAATGACCACAATAAGTTTTTGAAATAATAATATTAATAATATTAAAAAGTAACAAAAACAATAATAAACTAATAATAATAATACGATGAAGCTTTGAACTCAAAAAGTATTACCAATCTGTAAGTGCCGGGCTTCACCATCCTTCCAACATCAATGAAATCAAACAGACACTGTATTGAAAACAACAAAAAGCAAGTCAGATCAGAATTCAGAAGAGCTGAACTGAACTTGCTTTTTAGAGCATGCACACACCTGCAGTCTGTTGGATTTAAGAAACCGCCGGCCTCTCCGACTGCCATCGGGCATCCTTACAACAAGATTAACGGCATTCTCATCATCAGAAGCTGGCTCGTGAGGTAGGGAACTTTCTTTGGCTGCTAATTGTCTCTCAGTTTCCTGATCAAATATTACAAGGCTCTATGAACTCTTATGTCAAAGTACAAGGGAGAGCTTATTGTGAATCAGATGCAAAGCCAAGTCATCTGTTTAGATAGACTCAGCTAAACATGTGACAAATCTCTGAGTTACCAAGTTGATTATGTGCATTTCATTGAATTAGTTAATAAGCCTAACACTAAATGGTTCCTACAAAAATGTACTTATGTTGTTTAGAGCGTAATCAGTATGCTTTATTTTTATCTTATCAACCTTATCGGTAAAAGCTTTTACGGGACTCCAACCACTGTCACTGTATTGGCCGAATGGTCTACTTTTTTAGCTAAAGATCTTAAATGGGTGAAATAGCTACTATTAGCGTTGCTTTTAGATACTACGGAGTACTTCCTAAGCTATTTAAAAAATGGAATAATTGACAGGGATAACTCAACAAATTCGGGATAAATAAGTTATTTCATCTACAACTTTAGGAATTTCAGCATATGCAACAACTTCAGCAATTTCGAAGCTTACCAAAAGGAGTCAACTACTCCCTCCGTCCCATTTTGATTGTCCTACTTTCCTTTTTTGGGTTGTCCAAAAATGAATGTCTTGTTTCTTTTTTGGCAAAAAATGTGTGGTCCTTATCATTTCACTTTATTCTACTCAAATTTCAACCACAACTTCTACTTTTCAACCACTTTAGTAATAATCGTGCCAAATTGAAAGTGGACAACCAATATGGGACAGCGGTAGTATTAGATAGGAAACAAAAAATCTGTAGTACAAAAAAAGCTCAGTGAAACTTTAAGCGACACAATGGATGGTGTGTTTCCGAGAATGGTTACTTGTTATATTAAAGAAAACGGTAATGAAGTAATGAACATGGCCCCAAAATTGTTCTACCTGTTCCTCCTCCAACTTCTTTAATGATTCCTCCTCCTTCCGCCTCTCTTCCACAAGAGCAGCTTCAGCTTCTTGCTTCGCCTTCAATTCCTTCTCCTTATCAGCTTGCAATGCAGCAAGATACTCATCATCCTAAAAATATCAAACCAACATAACCAGTCAAAAGAAAACGATTTTCAAGGTATGTTTGGTTGGACCATAGAAAATGCTAGGGAAAGGGGAAATTTGTCTAAGGCCATGGAAAATGTCAAAATGCTAAGGTAGGGGGGGATAGTCTAAGGACTAAGGAGCATTGTTTTCTTGTTTTGGTTTTATCTCGTAAATTTCCAAGAAAACTGGAACATGATTAATGTTAAAAAACATATTGCTTTTGTTTGTAGTCCTTAGTCATTCCGTATAGAAAGTAATAGTAAAAGGAGTGAGAAAATATTGAAAAATAAATTTATTGATTTCGAAGAGATGCTTTAGCTTCTCCCACATTTTCTTTTCTTTGCAAATTTCTCCATGCTTTCCTCCCTATTCTACCCAATCATTTTATGAGTTCTAAATGGACCCTAAAATGATAAATGTTAAAAAATAACTTCTACATAGAAGTAAAACATAGCCAATTCCCAAATTCTTGATCTTCACACGCCAGATGACGGTGGCGGAATGGCAAAAGTGGAAAGATAACAGTGGTAACATGATCTCTGCCTTGCTTCGCTGTCTTTCTTGCTTCCCAAGTGACTCTACTCGCAATCTCTGCCTGACGGGCGTCTCAGTCTGCAAGGCGACAGCGTGTCTGCCTTTTCAATGCGAAATTAATAAGTACAGCTACATTAGATTTCCCTCTCCCTTCAGAACTGTTGCATGAGGGATCTACACTTACCTTCCAGGTGTCCTTGCTTCTTCTTTTACATTTTCTTTTTTGATGTTTTTTCTTGGTTAGATCTCTACTTCAAAGCAATTTGCTGTTGCCAGTGCTTTTCTTCTTCACTTTTTTCCTATTTCATTTTTATTTTCTTGATTTAAGACAATTTAGTTACTAAAAATGTCATGATTTTTTGTTTTATAATACCGACATCCTACTTCTAGTCCTGTTTAGATTTATATATCTAGGTACTCCTGTTTAGGTGCTATCACCATGTTCTACTGCTACATAAGTCCTTTTCCCAAGAAAGAGCAAAAGATTTCAAATGCAAACCTGTTGTTCTCGTAATAAACGTTGAGCCACAAGGGTTGGAGATGGTTGGCGAGGTGTTTGCAAAGGAACAGGCCCCACTGATCTATCTGAACCATCCTGCATAAAATGGTGTGCCACATTTGGTAGACGATACCCACTACCCTCAGGTATACCACCAAACATTGCAGCCTCAAGCATGACAGCTTCATCATGTTCCTCGGATGAAATGCCACCCCACTTGAAAGGAGAATATGATAAAAGTATGTATCCATTATATACTTCAGATCACATTAAACCGAAATACGGAGACAAGGAGACACACATAACATATATAGAGTTGTGAATTTGTGATGGAAAATGAAGATAATCAAGATACCTCATCAGTGTGGTACTCAGATCCAGTGTGCTGTGCATGGCTAAGAGTGTCGCCGTGTGTAGGACTTGAAACTGGACTCACCTCAGTGTCTGCATTTCTATAGGTGCCAATAGAAGAGGAAGATGCACGTTTACTCCTGCGTCCCACCAGTGGTTCTGCTTCCTTATCTTCAATTTCATCATCAATATATGAATTTCCTCGTGCTAACCTGCATCAGCTTAAAAAGTGGTCATCAAATTAATAAATTATCCCTCCACCACTACAGAAGAAAACGAAACACACACACACACAGAAAAGAATATTACAAGAGTACCCCCAAACAATCATTATTTGACTTCCCTAGTTTCACGATAAACGGTGTTCATCTTCCATTAATATACGGAGTATATAACTATATACTAATAAAATTATAATGAATTGGATTATATATACTAATATATAATCCTTCTGTATTTGAGTATTTGTTCTGCCAGGCTTTTACACAATGTATAAGAGTAAAAGTGCAAGGGTATTGTATAGTGTATAAACACTAAAAAGTATAAAGGAGGAGATGAAAAGGTAAAAGAAGTTGGAGAAAGAGAGGGTATCCAAAGGTAAGGACATTTATGACCTTAATGACTTCATCAAGCTCTTACAACGACAACATCCAAGCTTTATCAAGCTCTTATTTTCTAAAAAGGGAGAGCAACAAATATTTGAAATTTTCATTAAAGAGAAGTAGAAAAATTATTTGAATAAGGAGGGAGTATTAAAACAATTGGCCAGGGGTTCATTCATATTATAAGCTAACAAATTTCTGAAAACCGATGCTCAAAGTAAAATGAATTTTTGATTTAGAAGGTCAAGCATTGGAGTTTATTTTAGGACAGAAGAATTTAATTTTTTAAACCCTTCCTACCCAAAAAAGAAAAAGAAAAGGAAAAGGTTACAATAATAATAGCATCAAAAGTGAACTTATGTCTCCAATAAGCAAAGCTGAAATTATTACCTCCTCGTTGAAGAAGTCGACTTCCCTGGATCAGATATGCCCTTCCTTTCTTGTTCAAGTTTTGCTTTCTCCAGCTCTGCATCCTGGACACACCCAACATCAACAGGATGAGCAATCGAGATGGTAGTATGAGAAGAAGAACAAAAAGGGGAGGGAAACTGAACCTTTAGTGAAAGTGAAACAGCATGTGCAAGGTTAGCATCCTCGTCAGGAGCATGACCATGATGAGATATAGCAACTCTTGTACCCTGTGGCATAATAATCACATCACATCCCACAGAGCTAAATTAATACTTCATCCGTCCCAAGATAATCTCCTTTTTTTTCATTTTAGGATGTCCCACTTATTATCTCATTTCCAAGAATGGGCTAAGCTAAGTAAACAAAAACAAAGATGCTTTTCTCAACTAATAACACTACCTAAGTGGACAAAAAATAAAGATGCTCTTTTCTTAATATTTGTGCAAAAAGTGTTTGGGATATTATCTCTGGGTGGAGAGGGTAACATATATGTAATAAGATCTGTGTTGCATACACTTTGGTCATCAACTCTTTTGTTGGACAATTCAGCATCCATTTTGGAAGCTTCAATTGCTGCACGAATCATTTCCTCTTCTATATCATTATTGGAGTCAGGTAAAACATTGAATCCAGGGGCACTTGGTCTGTGATGGGCTACAGTAGAAACATCACCAAATATGTCATCATGATGTGTAAAAGTTTGAGCGCTTGGAACATTTGGGATTTCAATATCTTCATCATCAATTATGACAGTCCCATTGACTTCAGGGCCATGAGCATGCTCACTGTCAGTTACATCCTCAATGGCAAGAGCCCTTCCAGAATGACTTGAATGCCCATCCTTCACCTCAATTGGAATCTCCCTGACTTCTCTTGGATGTGAAACCAATGGTGCAGTTCTTGTAAAACTTGAACCACCACCAAATATACTTCGGGTGAAGTTAGGTTCAAGAAGAGAAAATGGATTTGAGTTTAAAGCAGAGGGTAAAAGTGAAAATGGAGGTCTAAAAGTGTCAATTGGGTTTGGTCCATCGATATCCATAATATCATCTTCAGGAAGAGGGGCAACAGATAGGGGTTCATCATGTCTTCTGCTTGACAAATACATAAATACACATGTCAAATACAACACATATTAGAAATGGAATTTATCATTATTCATTTGAAAGAAGAAAATGAAAAAATCATGAAAGAAGTGGCATTGTCATAAAAATAGCAGATATGGGAGGAAAATATGCACTAACGTGTTTCTATCTCCTTCACTGAAATGAGCATTAATGGCTGCATTAAGATCCCCAAAATGTTCCTGAATAGCACAGCATATGAACATGTTATGAAAGACCAAATTACAATATACAGTCGTTACTAAAAAGGACAGCTTAGGCAGTGAACTCAAGTCCTTACTAAAAAATAAAAGCTTAGGCAGTGAACTCAATTTTTTGGTCCCATAGTATAAGACCAGACATAATTGGAGATATTAATGAGATCTAAAAATGACCAATTTATTTCTCCCCTTTCTATATCCATCTATAATGGCCTTGAGTTCTCAAAGGTTGTGGACCAACATCAAAAACATGAATTCCTCTATGCAACCATGGTTCATCACTTCATCCCTTACAACAAGCATACATAAACCCATGGTACTTAACATACAATTCCAGATATACATGCAATACATGAAACTATCATTTATCTCACAAAAATATTCTTTAGAAGCTGTGAGCTTGGACTCCATGCAATGTGCTAACATCTTCAGGTTAGAACAAAAATGCAAGAAAATTTAGGCCAGCGAAGGCTGAAATGTAGAAAGCTTCTCAAGGAAACCAGAAAGTGTCAGAAATGACTAAATAGGTAACTAAGAGCAAATTAATCTGCCTTGATGACATAATTGTATTCCATGAACCATTAAACTGTCTAAGCTCGTGCTCCACAAGTGACATAATATAGTAAAAGTTGCGCATAAGTGGCATATCTAAGCATTTACAGCCTCAAAATACCTACAAAAACAGTACTGACTACATACACAAGCAAGTTTTTCATTATCACTACAGCAATTAACATCCTAGCTTTACAGAAAAATCAGAACTGAAAACCAAGTATGAGCCCTAATTGCGAACTAATCAGCACATATAAGCAACGATCATTGACAGAAAACAACATGAAGGAAATTCCTACAAAGCAATACGCTAAGGAGCATCGAAAACCAATAATCCAGTCACAATATGTGGACACAAAAAATGAAAGCAATCGACCTCAAGTCTCTGAATAGCTTCGGCTTGAGAGGCGCCAGTGATGCTCATGAAGGTCTCGATGGCTTCCTGATCGGGTCTAGCCATTCGGAAGAAAACTCGCCAGGGGAATTGAGGAAAATGTGAGAGAAGAGGAGCAAAGAGAGTCACAGAGATAATTTTGTGAGAAATGTGAGCGATAAACAGGTTTGTAATAATAGCAGGGGGGGTTAAAAGAAAGGAATAATAATCCTTGGTCCAATACTACGGAGTAAAATCTATTCTGGCGAAAAAAAGCGGGGTGACTTGCGAGGTGGAGAAGGGTAGGAGTGGGAATAAGGAAAAAGTGCTCGTCCACTTTCCGTAAACTTCTATAGGTGGGAAAAAAAACTATTCATTTATTTGTAGCTTTTGGCTTTTTGTTTACCAGCGTCTTCGAGAACAAGGTTGCCTCCTATATTCCAATGGGTTTCAAGATACATTTTTAAAGAGGAGACAGGTGTTCAAAAACAATTAATAAAAATTGTACTCTCTAAAATAAATTGATAAATAAGTTCATTAAATAAAATGTAATGTAAACTTGCAAGGCTTTACAAAAATAAAAGATAAAATAGTTGTCTTTAAATTTTAACCTCTAAAAAGTAATCATTTAATCTTTGACATGATGTTTTGTTTCATTGCTTGCACCTTGGATTCATTTAGAGGATGTTTGACCAGATGTAAAATAATTACTTGTGAGGATGTAAAATGTTTACACTATTTGACTTGATTATTTAATGTAAATAATGTGGCACTTTTAAAAAACATTTCGCATTGTACCATGTAAAGTATTTTACGTTGGGGTGGTAAAATACTTTGCATACTTTTTATAAAGCATTGCAGCGCCTTTGCGTGCAAATTAAAAATAAATTAAATATCCAATCAAACAATGCAATCTGTTTACATGCAAACTGATTGTTTCCCTGAACTTTGCATGCAATCATTTCGCGAGTAAAGATTTAACGTGCAAACTAACAAACGAGCCCTTAGTCTTTATCGTTGCTCTTGACCGAGGAAGGTCTTGGAAAACATCATTTAGTTCTCACTCTAGATGTTTAAGAGACTTGGGAAGATACGGTCGAAACCTTCAGCAAGCGAGACGAGAGTCGGCACAAAACCCTAGCATTATGGCGTTATAGGATTGTTTCTCATAAGTTGGTCTAGCTTTGTCAGAGATTCTTTGATAGGGATATGATCCAACTTGATTGTTCAGTTATTGTTGTGTTTGGGTTGCTCTATAATGGTACATTTCTGGACATTCATGTTTCAGTATGTTTTGTCTCCCTCGGTGCGAGAAGCTATTTTGGTGTCAAGGCCAATTTTGTCTGGTCTAAGGTTTCTGTCTACCTTTATTGGGTTGTGTAGAAAAGGGTAGAAGTATAAATATTGTTTGGTACTCCACCTATTTCTACACCTATCTGGAACGAAGTGGGGAAGGGATCAGAATATGAAATTAGTTTTCACTCATTTCCTCCGAAACCACATTCGTGACAGGGAGAGATTTGTGAAAATATTTTATGTCAATGTTGTTTTCTCTATAACTTATTGTTTTTATTTTAATTCGAGTAGGTATAATTTGTCATATTTATATATTTGGAGTCGTCTTGATGGACATTGCTTCGATTCTCGTTGCTTTAGACTTACAATTGCTCGTTTTGTGTCTAGCGAATCAGATTAACTTTGTATATGGTAGTTGACTCTATGTCTATTATTGAGACATACAATCGAATCTACAAGAGCTGTTTGAAGGTTTTCTTGAACGTTTCCTTGATATTAATACAAGCTAGGCTTGGGATTTGGAACCCTAAAATTGGGAAAGCTTTTTCAACCTTATTGTCCTGGTGCTTCAAATACTCGCTCACCACCTGAACCACCGCCTCGCTATGGGAAGAAAATATGATCAATTGGATATCCTTTTCGGTGGCTGGTCAAACCGATGTTTAAAAAAAATCTCAACTGACTTTCCTTTGTTGGTTGTTGGTCAACTCAATTCTCCCTTTCCAATGACTGGTGAAGTCGTATCTCTTAGTTGTAATTTTTTATTTTCTCTTTGGAGTAGCAAGAAGAGCAGCAAGGCCGTTAGACTAGATTGCATTATTGTGGGGTTAGTGATCTGAAATATTCATTGGATCTTTTCCGTTCTATGCCTCATCCCATTATAGCTCTAACTATTCATTCTCTTGTATCTTTGCTACCGTTTAATAATAAATTGGTTATTTGAATTTCAAAAAAAAAAAACTTTGACAATCATTTTCATGATTTGAAATTTGAATATTTTAATGTAACAAAAGGTAAAATGTGTTTATTTTAGGAGTATAATATTTTTTTACAAGGAACCGATAAATGTAAGAACTGAATCAAATTTAACTAGAAATGGGCTGGCTTTAACAACTACATTTTTACTCGAACTGAATCGAATTTTTTTATACGGTTCTATCGCATTTTAACTAGAATCAAACCTATCCTGGACCTAATATAAGTCGTTTATCATTTAAAAGCTCCAAAAGGTAAGAAAATGAGATGAATTCAAAGGACAAAAGGAAACATGATAGATAAAGCGGTAAAATAGGAACATAAAAAAATAGTGAATTTCAACTTAGAAAAGCTTTCATATTATTTGGACACCCAAAAAGTAAAGTTATCTTTCAAAAGGGGCGGAATGAATCCCTTACCTTTGCAATACATGTAAGCTTAAAATATCACTATTTGATATTAACATAGAGTATTAATTCATAATAATTGCTACTATTACTATTTATACGGGCTTTTTTTAAGATTCTGTATGACCATTGTGTCTATTTATTATTGTACATCTAATTTCAAGAACATTTTGAATTTTGTGATACAATTTATAAAATTGTATGTTTTTATTTGTTTTCTTGTTATAATCGTTATTATTAGATTATGAGTCCGCATATTTTAATCTTAAAACTTTAATATTATAATCATTATCCAAGTTTCATTTTCAAAAAATGTTGGGGTCAACTAACATGAACTGATCCATGATATCGAAGTCAAAAATGAATGAAGAAAAATAAAAAGAATACAAAGATAAATCAAGATAAAATAAAGACAAATATACGAAAAGAATAACATATGAACATAAGAAAGATAAAACTTGCACTCCATATACTCAGTATTGCTCCGGCTCAGTCTGAAACTCTTGGTCTTCAATGTTTATCGCCATACTCCCAACTTTGCTTTAACACTCGATTGTGTCTCTTCAATCAATACAGCATTGTCGTCAAACATCATGCACCACAATATGTTTTCTTAAATTAATTTTGTAACTTCATCAATGACTATAGCAAATAAGAAACTTTATCCATGACTATAATTATATGTGGGGTATATAGTTATATATATTTTACACATTTTTTTTTATCCCGGAAGGCAAACCTACACATTACTATGTATATTTTAGTAGACATTGATCATGTTGACTCGGGTTACTATGATGTCCTACCCGGGTTTATGGGTGTCCCTTGATTTGGTAACTTCTCCGAGCTAACTCTCGACCTCGTTATTAAAACATAGATTTAGTCCACTCCATTATGACATAAGTTTAATATAGTTACCTCTCAGTCTAGCCCAATACACATTTCTTGGTCCGCCGTGGTGGATTGGCTCTCTTCGACCAAACTCAACCCAGCTTTTCAATATTTTTGAACCTCTTGTTCTCCACATTATCATCTTTGATATTTTTGGTTAATAAGACAAACATACAATCAACGGGGCAGGATGGTTGATTCTCAATTAAAATACTTTTGCGGAGCAGCTCGTACCTAAGGTTCTAGGACAGGTGTAAGCAGTTCTTCGAAGGACAAGGCGATAGGTTGTTCTTCGAAATCAGCAAGTCTTTGGCGAGAACGTAGGAGAGAAAAGGCGGTGCAGGGCGGCTGTCTCATGAATAATCACGAAGCCTGGGTGTGAATTCTCCAACGAGCATGACCACAAAAGCAGTGGTGTAAGCATGCGTACGGACGCATGGGGATGGAAGAGGAGGATGCGTTACCACAAGTGGAGACTACGGCCATCGATATTGACGAAGTGGGCTTGTCCCTATTAGGGACAATTACATGTGAAAAGTGGGTACGTTTCCCTATTTTTCGTGATACTGACAAGTGTTTGGAAACTTGTAATTAAGAAATGTCACTATTACTGAATTAGGGTCTAAGAGATATATGTTTCAGTTCTACAATGAAAGTGATATGATCCGGGTTATGGAGGAAGGACGATGGACTTTTGACCAAATTCTTATTGTGTTGAACAAGTTAAGGCAAGGGGATTGTCTTTGGCAGTGTCCCTATATAGGGATGATTTATGGCTATATGTCCATGGTGTACTAGTTAGATACTTCTCTTTCAAAAATGCAATAGATATGGTAATTTTGTTGGAAAGTTTATAAAGTGGATGATTACATTTTTCTCAAAATGAAACCCATTTATGAGAATCAGAGTTAGTATTCACTTGACCAGACCTCTGAAAAGGAAACTCTTTGATGAAGGGGTCACTTGTTGTGTCAAATTTAGATATGAAAAAACTCCCTAATTTCTGTTTTGAGTGCGGAATTATTGGCATGCAGAAAGGTATTGTTCGCACTACCCCCATGGTACTGGGAAGATCGAGTGGGGGATTACCATTTGGACCATAGTTGAGAGCTACAAAAGGACAGACACCGACAGGTGGGAATAAGTGGCTAGTTCCAATTGGCAAAGGGAGAGGCAAGTAAGACGAGTGCAGAGTCAATTCGTTATAATTGGATGTTCAAGGAGGATTGAGGCAGGGGCAAGAGCATCACTATGCAGGATATAAGATTGAGCAGAAGCATGTGAGAGTTGATTAGGGGGCGGAAGATGCATTGCATAGCAACACAAAGGTGGAGTTGAGGGCGCCAAAAACTGGGGCGGAGGCGGACTGCAGTGCCGCAACCACCTATCACACAACTGAAGATTGAGCAGGATGATTCAGAAGTGATGGAAGCAACAAAATTCCATCAACTCAACTTGTTCTATTTATGCTTTTTGCCTTTTTTCATTCCAGCCTGTTTTCTTTTGGTTATTATGTTTTATTTTGTCATACAATAAGGGGGAGATATGGTTGTTGGTTTGTTTTGGTAGGTGGAATTCTTGTTGGAGGTAATCAGGCTGACTTAGCCGCTGATAGTCTCGAAGCTCTCACAGGTTCAGTGATTAATCTCGCTCCTTTTG